GATATTATATATATAATATTTTCATATTTTGAGTATCAAGATGATATGTTTAATGTATTGTTGGTTCATTCTTTTTGGACTTTGGTAAATTTTTTAAATTTTTATAAATATTTATATACTTTTTTTCTAAAAAAATTAATAACTTGTATCTAAAAGGTAATTATAGAAAAGTTATGGAAAAGCCCATCATGGAAATCACAATTCAACTTTGTAAAATTCACGAAAACTTTACGTAAAGCTAAAACTGCCTACCCATACGAGAAGATGATTCAAAGTTTCATATTTGATTATTCAGAAATTGTTATTTCACCAGAAGATTTGAGCTTGATTTCAAAAAGATGTAAAAATATCAAATACGTCAGATTTAAAACTTTATCAGCATCTTTTACAGCCGAAACAGTGGCTGCCTTTCTGGAAAATTGTTCAAGTCTAGTCTCGTTCACAATTACAGATAAACCACTCAAATCAAGGCTCGCTAATGCTTTGAAACCTATTAGGGATGGTCATTGTTCGAAACTCTCATATTTAGAATTAAGAAATTTTAAATGGAAGATTGATATTCTTAAAGATATCGGTAGAGCTTGCCCATTAATCAACACATTGGTCGTATCTAATGTTATAACGAATGTTATTGCAGCTGTCATAGTGGAGTTTTTTGTAAATTTGGAGAATTTCACTTGTAATTCGATCACTGGTGCGGGATTTAGAAATTTGTTTTCATCATGGTCATCATCTTCTTCCGCTTGTTGTCAAAAAAATACAAGGAAAAAATTAAAAAAAATATCATTGGAATTTCCTTACATTACTCTAGATGATCTTTATCTTAATTCCCTTCAATCTTTTAAAGAATTTCCACCATTGGAGTCATTAACTTTAAGATTTGGATCTTATTTTGGATTTCGACATTTTTTAAATTTATGGGTAAATAGTTCTCTCTCTCACATTCGCTTTAACATTAGTTAATTTATTAATTTATTGATTCACACATACCAAAGAATACGGGAAGAAAAATTCGAAATCGCGATTGTTAATTAATACTCTTTACATAAAATTAAACTCAAATAGAAATAACCATTCATTAATAGATGATTAATATGAGCTATTATTTGATATCGGGTGGTGATTGTAAGAGTTAAGAGGGTAACGAATTTGTATTCATAAAGAAGAAAGATATTGATACGTGTATATTATCAATATAGGACATGCCGCAATAAAATCATACAGAATGAACATAATCCCACGAAATAATTTCAAGGTTTAAAGTGTTGAAAATTGCTCATTTTGATCATTCAATATCTTCCATATAAGAAGATAACTGAAGTAACCAATCCAAAAGTATAGATTAGATCGGTACTGAATTTTTCTTTTGTTTGCGTAGTGTTTTTTGTAGGATCTTTTATTTAATTAGCTATTCTTATATATATTCTTTATGTCCTGCTTTCTTGTTGATAAAAAAATTTTTTTTTCTAAAGGACACGAGATGCATTCGCAATTCTGGGATGTCTTCGTGCAGTAGTCCTAGTGATGTGTCGCGCATAGCTCGTAGCATCCATCGTAAACAAATATTTTTTCTATTACCTCATAATAACTTTCGGGAAATTTACATGAATAATATTTATTTAAATACATAAACGCATAAGAATCGTAATTTATTTCATCATGTTTGTATAATTGATGCGAGGAATAAAACATTGCATCCACATGGTCAATGAACACGTGGAATTAATTCATTGGACCCGAAGTTGGGTTTTGAAGAGATGACCAACTGAAGTTGGTGGAGTAAAAGAAATGTGTAAACTAACTAATCTAATAAAAAAAACTAATCTAATTAAAAAAAAAAAAAACCTAAATTGACTAAAAAGAAAAAAAGAAATAAAAGGAGAATAAAAGAGGAAGGGTAAACTAAACAACTATAATAAAAGTGAGTCGTAGAAGAAGGTTCAACAACAGTCAACTTAAGCCGACAGTCGGCCGATATTTGCAGCTAACACCAGCTTAGGGCACTAGCTTTGGAGTGTGTCGGTAGTTAATTTTTTGTTCTTGTCGTCGTTGTCGTAGTCGTAATCGTCGTTGTCGTCGCCGTCGTAGGTAGTTGTTGTAGTTGTTGTTCTCGTTAATAATAATAATAAAAATTGTTGTTGCATTTTGTGAAGAAAGAATAAATTTTTAGGAAAAAAACCAAGTTTACTATGAACGGCACATTACTAAATGGATCACCAAAGGAAAATTACCATTATTGAATTCCTTTCTATTTCTTCATTAATAGTGTTATTTATCCATTACTACCGTTTCTCAGATTAGCTTTTTATTTGATAAATTGCATCACCCCAATTAATAATCATATTGGGACCATGCAGAAATGAATCTTTAAAGAAAAAAAGCCACGTCATGTTCTCCTAACAAATAAAATAAGAAAATTTAGCAAGTTGGAAAAATAAACACAATGTTTTTGTTGAAATTTAATTTGAGCCTCCTTCGATGCACGATAAAAGCTTCATTACCTCGTTCGTATTATTTTGCTTCTTAGGCGTGAAACTTCTTTCGCCTTATTATCGCGTCGTCGTCCAAGTGGTAGTGGGAAGGTTTCGGTGGTCGAGTCTCTCAGCTTGTCCCGTCATGATTGGCTTCAGATTGTAAGTTTCTTTAAAGTCATTCATTTCTGAAAAATAAAATGACAAATAAATCCGACGTTTTAAACTTGGGTGTCGGATTTAAATAAAATCGTCCTTAAACCCTGTGTTTTAATCCCGTCTTTAACTCATAAAAAAGACAGTTTGTCGTTGCAGGGGAGACCATTTACGTGTTCTTTATAATATTAAAGAACCCGGATGCAATATCCATTCAATCCGTAAATCCGTTTTTTTTTTGATAGCAATCGGATCAACCCAATAAACCACCTGATATATTATTAAAATATATGTTATTAATAAATTAATGCTATTGCCTTGTAAACTGTATACCGAAGAACTATTGTAATATAAATTACCTCATTAAGAAAATGGCATTATCACCTTCGGACTATCAGTAATAGGGTCAATCCGATAGACTACCTGAAATATTATTAAAATATACGTTATTAATAAACTAATGCTACCACCTTATAAACCGCAAACTAAAGAATTACTATATAAATTACCTCATTAATAAAATGACACCATCACCTTCGGATTAATAACGAATTGAGTATGTAACTCAGGCCTCTTTCTTATCCTCTGAGTTATTTTGCATCGTGCTTAAGAAGGTTTGAGGTCAGCAATTAGTCTTTTTATCTCTACTCTATAGATTATATATATTAATGGACGCAAAGAAGTTTTGTAAATTGTGGAGAAATTTTAAAAAAAAATCTAAAATAATAAAAAGTCCGACATTTCTCCAGCGTTTTTTTGTAAAATAATAATATTAAAAGGAAAAAGGAGAAAGGAAAAAGGAAAAAGGAAAATAACCAAGAAGAAATGCGGTGAAACTGGGGACAAGAAGAAAAAAAAAAAAGAAAGATAAAGATTTTTGGAGGACAGGTAGATGATTGGG